TTGCTACTAGTACATTGTGATTTAGAGTCTTATGAGGACCAAGAAGTACAATTATAGGACTTGAAAGTTTATTGGACTTCGTATTGAAACGTATGAAATAAAAGGCCAATGAAATTCAATAATATAAAAACACATCAAACTGAAAATTAAAACATACCAAACTGACAATCAATAATTGGAAGGCGGGGTAGGATTTAGATATTTATTTGTTTTATTAAATTAATGAAAAGGAGAATGACCATGAGAAAGAAATATCTATTAGAATTAATTAAAATTTTCACGAGAAATATAGATAGGATTGCCTTTTTCTACAAAATGACCGCCCAAGCTGTTAGTGTAAGAGAATAGAGAAAAAAATTAAGACTTTCTCTGAAGGATCCTTATGCTTTATTGTGTCTCTCCTATACAGCGACCCTAGTATGGAATGTCTTTTTCTGCCTTAACTCAAAGGGGTGGCCATATGAAATGAAATACTAGTGGTACTTTGCGCATTGAGCTCACTAAATGATACCGCCAGCCTCATATATGATTATAATAGCAATATCCATGTTTTGGTTTTGGGAGTCCTGAAATAATTGACTGATCCTAAAGTAGATAAGAGGTGCACAATAGCATTGCATATTAAGAATCTGCGAAAGTACATGTATCATGATCTTCGCTAGCCAAGTGTCCGAATCGGACACTTGGCTAGCGAAGTTCCTGTATCATTAAATTTCATTTAGTGGGATTGGAATTGCGATTACCCCTCAATGGATATCCTTTAATATTGTAGATGGATGCCCTTTAAAATTGTAGAAAGAATGGCAGTGTCTATGTTTTACTATGATAAACCCAAAATATGTTTCAGATCAAAAAGAAAAATAGAGGTCGATTTCTATTTTTCTATACAGGCTGTAAAAAAATCTGCATCAAGAGTATGAGGAAAAAGAGACTTAATCCTTACAGTGAGCTTTATGTAAGATGCAGTATATCTTAAATACTATATATAACCTTCTTCCAAAGGCAATCGCGGAGATTGGCATCAGCTCTGAAATACATGTAATATATAAGCTCTATTTTCAGTTACTCTTATTTTCTGTTATGTCTAGAAATTAATAGAGAAGAATAGAAATATATGTCAGGAAACGATAAGGCAAAGTTTTTGCATACAAGTTTAAATGCATTACATCTTATTCAACTGACGGTAAAGACTAAATAAAGTTCTGAGTGGATATTTTTCATACATGTAAAATATAAACAAAGTCATAAACCTTAACAAAAGATGAATTTCATGATTAATAAGTCTTAATTTACAACCGGAAATATGACTTGTCTGTTTATATTCTTTTCAGGAACTGAAGTTCTATTTTTGAACACGTAATTATTGCAGTTTCCTGTTTAAGAACTTAAAAAATTCAATGACTTTTTATAAAAAAAAAAAAAAAAAAAAAAAAAAAAACTACTACATCTAAGCATTTCTACAGCTCTCTTAAAAACATAGTTTTTTTTTTCTTTTAATAAAATTCAGATCTGGTCAATAGAAGAATACTTCTTAAAAAATAATAATAAAAATAAGAAATTAAGTTATGTAAGCACTTTTTTTTTTTGAAATTCTTTAAAGAAAAAATCAGACACTTTAATTTTCAAATTACAACTTTATTGTTATTCTTTGATTCTATACTGAAAAAATTTTAGTAAAAAGAAACACAGGGTAAACTTTTGAGGTGAATTAAATTTATCTTCTTTTTTTTTATTTTCTCAGTATTGCTATCAAACTTTTAAAATCATCTTTAAAGAAAATGTAACCAAAATCCCATCTGATTTTGACTTATAATTCATGAGTTATTGCAACTTGTTAGACGATACCACCCAAAAGTGAAAATCGAGAACTCTCAATATCCTCAGTGTCTCCCCCGCGCATAGCTGTCACAGCTTTGATTCTCCTTTGCATAGAATTCATCAGAGTGTTTATTTTTCAAGCCCTGGCTACACATGTATACTAGGCATGGGTAAACGGCTCAAAAACCCAAATTCTGCAATTGGTTTCTTTTAGTTTTTGGAGGAATATAATGATTATGATAGTCGACTGTATTAATAGCGTTTTTTTTAAGAATCGGAGTTATGTACCATTTTACATTTCGTGGTGGACATGAATTCGTGGGTCTTTTCATTCCTCGAAAACAACTAAATTTAAGCCCCCTCGAAAAATTGTGAGTTCACAGTATGTTTATATTAGTTATATAACTTTCTTTATTAGAAACAAATACCACGAAGGCAGCACATCTGCTTCTGATTTCATAGCGTAGAGAATATTACCCGGGAGGTCATTTTTATTTGCTGTTTGATAGGTGCAAATCTTCTCCGGAAAAGCATGCTTAAAGTAGCAATTTCCTTTAATAATCATAGATAGAAATGATATAAGATTGACCATACAACTGTTCAACGGACAAATCAAATTATCATATTATAATACTTGCAGGGGGACTTCCTTTGTTTTGCTCCCACTGTTAACTCTCATTGTATTTAATGATTTCCAGCCGATAAAGATTTTTTTTCATTTCTGGAAGTATTTTACATGCATTATATTCATAAATTTAAATTTTCCAATTAAATGAAGAAATAAGGAAAAATTTGAGTTTTGGGTTGTTTCTGTCAACAGTTCACATGTATGAATATATCGACGTCGACATTTTTTTTTATCTTGAAAAAAACCCCAAAACTTAATTTATTTTGAAATAATCATCAAAGCACATTAGTTTGTAAAAATCCAGTTAAAAAGAATTACATCTGAATAGAATAATATGGAACGCCGTCACTGCCTTATAGCAGAACACTACTATTGCATTGTGTCAACCTTCCATTACATTATGTCAACTCTTTATGACATTAACCCACACTACTATTGCATTGTGTCAACCTTCCATTACATTATGTCAACTCTTTATGACATTAACCCACACTACTATTGCATTATGTCAACCTTCCACTACATTATGTCAATTCTTTATGACATTAACCCACACTACTATTGCATTGTGTCAACCTTTCATTACATTATGTCAACTCTTTATAACATTAACCCACACTACTATTGTATCGTGTTAACTTTTCTTTACATTATGTCAACTCTTCATGACATTTACACATACTACAACTTTATTTCGTCAACTTGCATTTCGTTATGTTTACTTTTCATGACAATCTTAGTTTTTATTAACTGATGTGAAAAGCTCATACCATACTGTGCGCACTCTTCTACATTATGTCGATTCACTATTACGTTATGGGAACACGGGTATCCTCGGCCTTTATATGAGCATAACGTATTTTCCGCGTTCCGCAAGCACTAAAAATGGCGGGAGAGAAAACTGTCGTAGAAGAGATTCTCAGCGATTTCGGAATGACATCTTTAAATGAAAACTTTAAGCGACAAATGATTGACAATCTTGAAACATGCAAAGCCTTTACACTGCGACTGTGAATTAAAGTCACGTCGAAATTCAATGGTGTTTACTTGTATCTGATAATTAAATAAATCAAATATTATGAGTCGTGCAGCAATCATTTTTTTTTCTTTTTATTTTGAACTTTTTTTTTTTTTTTTTTAATAAAAGTCTTAAACTTTGTAGGACATTGCATTAGTTTCACATTAAGTTTAGCTGAATTAAGTTGAAAACTTTTTTCTATGAAACTATAAAGCCTGAGAGCTTCTCCGCTTTCCGCCCTTGGTCTCCAACCATATACCGCCCCCCTTCCTTGTTCAGGATTCCCATATCTGCCACTGATATGTGCCCATGCATGCTTACTAAGGCATATTCAATTGATTTAGATGAGCGACTGGTAGATTTTTGTAATAGAATTCTGGCCCTGAAATGATTAAAAAAAAATTACTAACTCCAGTGACGTAGCATCTTTTTTTTGAAAGAGGAGGTCAGCCAGAAAAAAATCATTTACCCAAAAAACTTGACAAGCCAAGAAAAAAAGTCCAAGCCCGAAAATCCTATTTCGGGGAGAGGGGTCCAACTTCAATCAATCCCATTTTTTCTCAGATATATTACATTACCCTTAGTGGACTACAGTGTATACTTCAACAAGAAGTGGGGGTGGGGGCTGTACAATTTCAATGAACATTACATTTTCTATAGTAAAGTTATGTCTGGGAAAAGAGGGGGGGGGTGATATTATGTGCCTGTAATTTATCCTAATCAATCAGGAACCCCCCCCCCCCCCTTCTTACCAGTCATTAACACACGGTCGTCAACATTCATTATATACTAGATATACATGTACAGCTTTGAGATAATGTAAATGTATTTTAACATCAGGTAATGAACTTTTGGAATCAACATGATAAAGAGTTAGCACAATATAAGGATATTTTTAAATCACATAAGAAAGAGTTGACATAACGTAATTATATATCCACATCACGGAATGGAGTTTTGACATAATGTAATAAAGTATTGATATAATATAAAGATATGTTCACATTATGTTATACACATTTTACACCACGTAATAAAGCACTGACATAAAGGTAAGATGTGTTCACCTCACATCATGATGCCCTCGCCGTAAAATAAAGATAAATCCATATCACGTAATAATGCTTTGATATAATAGAAATATACACTCTCAAAAAGGAATGGGCTTTTGACTTCATGTAATGATAAGTTTAATTATAAAACACAATTTACTTGACGTAATGCAATTTTGACCTCACATATTAAAGAAATGAAATGATGTAAAGAAGCATTCATTTCACGTAATAAAGTTTTAACACAATGTAAACACATTATCACTTCACATAATGAATTTTTTACTTCAAGTTATGAAGTGCTGACATAATGAAAGGAGTTATTTACTTCATGTAATGCAGCATTGACATCATGTTAAGATATATTTACATCATCTCATAAAAAATGGATATAACGTAAAAATATGTTCACATCACGTAATCATAAACTGACATAATAAATGCATAGTTGTATGCTATAAGGCAGTGATGGCGTTCCATAGAATAATCAACTGCTCCCATATATGTCTGCATTTCTGGAGCATGAATTTCTATTGAAATACTCCCATGTTGAGAATCGATACAGGGCCAGGTGCCTATAACAAAAAAACCCCAATTTTGCTCAGAATATATGAAAGACATTCAGAATGTACACATGTAGTTATTCATGAGATAAGTATCCATTAGATATGCATTTTTGATAATCTTCCCAATTATATATTATTTCAGTTAGTATTAAATCAAAAATAGACCTGATGCTGACCTAAGCAAAAAAGAAAACAAAACTATAAAGAAAGAATAAGAGAAGGGTTATGGACACGATTCATTTCATACCTGCTGGAATTGCATGTCGTCCTTGTCCGGTGACGTCATAAAGAGCGAACATGTCACCACCTATATTTTCGCCAATGCAGACAGAAAACTTGTCATGACTTTCTCTCTTAAACTTCACTATAATGTACTCTTTTGGGTAGTTCCAGTCTATGGTCCCATTTTTACACCCGTCTGGAGCTTGGTACTCACGATGGTCTCCATCAGGAATAAATCTTAAAACAAAACACTATTTTATAAACAACAGTCTTGTCGAACAATGTTCACAATACAAAAGTAAAATTTTTCAATAAAAAATGCTAAGATCGAATATTACAATGTTCCACATGCCCTGGTTGCTAGTATATTATGGTTTATTTTTACAATATTTACTAATCATTGATTTTTGAATTCATCAACAGAAGTCTTACAATACCTGTCTATCACTCTACCAACTTAAAACATTGTTTTGAATATAATAACTAGAGAATTCACCAAAATTGAGGATTTTTGTGAGAGCAGGTTTAAAAGTTTTAATCTCAAAGATCATATTTAAAAAAAAAAATAAATAATCCTCCTGTATTATTGATATCTAATGTTACAAAGATAAGAATCCTTAATATCCAAACATTCCACTTAGCAATAGAACAAATCTAATCTAATTAACTTCAGTAAGGGGACCTGTACGGGATAATATCATTTATCAAAAAGATTAAATCTACATACCCCTGTGGAAGTATTGTGCATCTATCTCCAAAAAGGAAGGAAAACACATTTGGAAGTGTAAGCACGAGTATTCCAAACACGATTGAGTTCATATTGACCCAAATTCTCTGTTAACATTCCTGTAAATTCTTATCATATATACCTTATCATAATTATCTACAAAACCAAGTCGTCGTTCGCGTGGCGCAGTGGTAAATGCGTCTGCTGTAGAGTTGGAGTGTAAGGAGTCGATCCTTACGTCAAGGGTTCGATTCCCACTTTGGGACGTGGAGACCGGTCCCTCGGATGAGACCGTATAAACCGAGGTCCTGTGTAACAATAAGTGTTGGATCGAAAAAAAGATTCCTCACAGCTTAATGTAAATGAGTACCGAGTAAAGGTTAAAAATATTGAGCTTTCCCTCGACATCTTTTATCTCTTTCATACATTGTTAGGCTCCCGTAAACGAATTTTCTTTGGTAAAGTTTTTGTCCGGTCCGATCGTCTGTCTGTCTGTGTGTCGGCAAAAATTTCAACCTTGCCGATAAGTTTTGAGTGAGTGAGGCTATGGCTTTCATATTTCAAAGGGGTATTCCTTGTTAAAAGACCTTTCTTTTGGTACCACCAAATTTGACCCCTTGACCTTGACCATGAAGTTTGACCAACTTTTAGAAAAAATACCACACTTTTACCTTTGCCATATATAACCTTTTAACAATAGGAGCTAGGACTTTCATACTTCACACGTGTATTAATTGTGAAAAGACTTTTCAGTGGGTATAAATATTATTATATTATCACAGGTGTATTTCTTGTAACAAGATCTTTCTTTGGGTACCAACACTTTTGACCTTGGTGTTAGGAGCTTGACATGCCTTTTAGAAGCCTTGACGTACAGGGTCATCAGTTTTTCACAAACACGTCTTGTTTTCATCATTTTTAACTATCCATCTAACACAGTGTATAATGCACGTGATGCAGTATGCTGTAATCAAGGGAAAGTCGAAACTTCATAATGTAAATTTTTTATGTAGCATGATATTAAAGCTTTTCTAAAAAAAAAATATGATTTTAAAATTATTTTATAGCTTTCTGCAAGATTTTTTTTTTCATTCATTTAGTTCATTTTTTAATAGATTAATTTGATAGCATTTTATAATAAAACATAGGTAATCAGAAAGTACAGAACTCACCTCAACAAATGTTGTCTTTAAGTAAGGCAAAGTCCCACAATAACTAACATTCTAGAAGCTTACATCCCAAAATGCAAAATTTATGCGATTTGATCTGATAGGGCTTGCAATTACTTGGAAACAGACCTATCCTAAAACTGCAAACTAGTCGCCCATCAAGAAAATGTAATTCAAATCCAGCATTTGTATCTATCTGTGGGCGCGTGAGAATGTGGGATTGTGTATTTCAAGGGAAACAGGTCTTATGCATATATATGTTGTACTTTAGATCAATCTGTACAGGCATACATGTAAGTGTTTGGCTAATGAAAGAAGCAATGTAGCGCTAATGTAAACTTTTATATGTAACGGTAATGTAACTTTTTGTAGCGGTAATGACTAAGTAGCGGTAAATGAAAATTTCGAAAATGTAGCGGTAATGATACCCACCCGTTTTATGCGTATTTAGCAGAATTTATACAAGGTGTGTTTACATGTGATAAGAAATCACTTGCTGTACATGTAGCCTTCAACTCGACATTAAGATACATGTATATAGAAGACGTCATATCAATTAACAATAGTTAAATCCATTCATACACGATAATTACCAGTGAGCATTAGATAAAATATACCTCATCTGTTTCATATTTGTATATTTTACTTAACAAGATGATAATGGTAACCTTGCAACAAACTTATAAACGTGATAATTTCAATGAAACATATGGAGATAACGAACAGTATTCAAGATCAAAAGTCCATAAAACATTACAAAATAGGAGCAGAGCAAACACAGACCTCCAGAACATAAGAGGTGGGATCAGGTGCCATGGAGGAGTGAGCATCCCCCACCGACCGGTCACACCCGCCGTGTGCTCCTCGTCATGATCTGCAAATTACGGAAAAATTCGTCGCCAGCTCAGCGCACAAACAATAAACCAACAATCAGTACGAAAAAAGTCAGTCAATACCTGATTCAAACTGCACCTGCTGACAACTTACAAATCGTCAACATCTCATACATGTATAGTAATATACTCTAATTACCTGCATACGGGGTATCTTCGTTGATTCGGTACGCAAGCGCATGCTCTACGTATGAACGATTTCTTAAATAAGGTAAGATTGACATAAAAGTTGTTGAAACAAGAATATCAACAGTTTCATGTAGCGTCATAATTTCGAATTACATGTACATGTAGCTACGGATATTTCCGTTTTTCCAAATCATGACAAGGACACATGACGGATGTGGCCGGTCGGCAGGGGATGTTCACTCCTATATGGCATCTGAACCCACATCTGGTGTGTTAGAGGTTTGTGTATGCCATTCTCATGATTAAATCCATTAGCTTAAGGGCTCTTCGTTACATAAATTTTTCATTGCATTTTTTTTAATTGGCAATCATGTATACATGTATGAGTACCTTCAGCAAAGAATTAAAAAATATGAACCCATTCCTCGATCAAAAAATTAATTATAATCTATTGAAACAGTTATATTATTATACAATTGATCATTTCAGATCAAAGGTTTGGGCTTTGCAAAATATTGAAAACAGTATACCATTTTCTTTCTTTCTTTCTTTCTTTTTTATAGAAATAATCGAGAATCGATGCAATTCATGACGTAATACACAGGCTACCAATAAAAAGATATTTTTTCACCAAGCTTGACTCAGAGCATTCTTGAGTAAAAAGATAGAAGTAAGAATAAATGAAATTTTTAAAAATGTGAAAACAACGGAGCCAAAAATATAAATTTTATATAAAAACTTTGCTGCATAGTTTAGATTCAAACTTATTCAAATGGCAACCCCGGTGTTAGGGTCGGGCCACGGCTTTTCAAAAAGAAAAAAAAAGGCTTTACAGATTTTCTTTTACAGAACAGCAGAGCAAAATATTTTTTTCAACTTCATATGAAAGCACTTTAAGGTAGTGTAGATTAAATTTTTTTTTAAAATCATGACCCCAAGCCTGGATCTACAACTGGTGATCAAAGTTTAACATAGGAACCTACAGAAAAAATCTTTGAGAACCTTCTCAAGAACACCATCGCCATGATTGATCATATTTATATTAAAAAAAAAGCATCATCAGGTAGTGTTTAGTCTAGTCTTTTCATATCATGACACTTTGATTGATTGTATACTGTTTTACGTCCCGCTCCAGAATATTTCACTGATATGGAGACGTTCATGACACTTTGGGAAAGGATGGTGCCAAAATATATGATCAAATTATTCCATAAGGATATTTAAGGGAAAGTATCTGCTAATGAGATGAAGAACTGAAAGGCCATATTGACTCAGTTGAGCGTTTGGCCAATAGGTATCTTATATCGAATTTGGACGTATTTAATTTGTTTAAATAAATAAATATTTAATTCATAAAATTAGACAGCATTTTTTTTTTAAATAAAAAGAATATACCAGTTTAATAAAAATATACAAGAGATCACTAACACATTTTTTCTTTAAGCTACTGCATGTATAATTACAGGTGCTCCGCATGGGGTCTTTTTACCTTCGTGTCGCCAAGTTCAATTACATAAATTTATTAATCTTAAGTTTTCCTTCTTTTCTGCGTAGGAAAACAGAAAAAAATCATGGAATAGTTAATTTTACGTTTTATTTTGAAACAGTTTTCTTTTTAGATAAGACTTAAAATTTCATTTCAATCTAGTATTTTCTCGAATTATTTTCATTGTGTGCTTTTTATAGATGTATATTATTTTCCTATAGATTGCAGAATAATTATAGGTTTTAAACGTCATTATAATAAATGAAACTTTATAAGATCAATAAGGAAAAATATAATAATTAAAATAACCACAAAATACAAATAGGTTTTTCCCCTATATTTATTATGTATATCTTTCATGGTAATGACTAGATGCTATGGCGTAAAAGAAGTCGAACATGAGTTATCGTTCATATATCGAGTTATCGTTCATAATATGCGTAATACGTCATCACTAGAGACCTATTCACTCGTACATGGAATATTCCACATGTGTTAAGATAAACAGAAATAAAATAAATATTCTTTAATCATATTTATTCGATTAGTAGTTTATATTTATTTCATATGTAATTTACAATGGGGTTATTATATATAAATCCCTATGCCGAAATTGGAAATGTCAGTATATATAAACAATTTATCAATATAAATTAATCATCAAACATGGATTAATTATAGATAATCGTGGATTGATTTTAATGAAAAATAAAAAGAGTTGAGGTATAGTACTTGATATAATTTCTTTCTATATATTTATTTGTATTTCGGTTAATGCAGTTTGGTTGTTATGTGTATTGCGAATGGAGAATGCACGGGGGGGGGGGGTGTATTACCAACTGCAGACAGGCATCTATCGTTAAATGTGGTCATGTAAGAAACGAAAACCAAAGGTGTTTAAATGCTGCCTAAAGATCCTTGCTCCAATTTTTCACTATGGGAACACTAAAATT